CCGATTGCGTTCAAATTTGGCACACCGCTAGCGACCAGTTAGAAGGGTGCTTTGCGCAGGCCCGTTGGAAGCACCCTCTCGCCCTTCCGCACGTGCAGGGCTCACTATCTCGCTCGCTCGTTCTTCGCCCAAAAGGCGTTTTACTGGTAAATATCGACGAAGATACCTCAAGGTGCATGCAAAACTCTTTATAAAACGTCAGTGAGTTTTTTTCGACAGACGCTTTTACCTCTCATTGCCGGAGCGAAGTTTTTGAAGAGACTGACGGGTGCCATGGCGCTGTACTGTCCCAATGTCAGATCCAGCAGGAACAGTGGGACACCGAGGCCCAGCAGGGACAGGGCATACGGTATGAGGAAGGCTCCGCCGCCGTTCTTATAGCACAGGTACGGAAACCGCCACACATTTCCGAGGCCTGTAACATCGAACGGCGCAGTCAGCGAACACGCATAGTTTTATACCTGGGTAGTGGATACCTACCATTATTATGCACTATGCAGCTTTATTTGCAATTTGCATCTGGCCCGTGTATTGCCATGCCGCTATGCATGCATTCTTGCATCCGTTACAAATCCACCCCTGAGTTTTTCATGGAAGTGCGATCGGATTCAAGTCACCCTAAAAAAAAAACATGGATCTTAGGATCTCACGGGGAGAATTTCATCTTTCTCAGAAAATAAGTGTAGGGAATATAAAAAGTGTCTTCCATTTCATAAACTTTAGAAGATTCCAGCAACAAACATCGCTTCAATTAGTATAAAGGCTTAAAACCATCTCAACACAGTCACTACCTAAGACAGGGCCACAAAATACTACCGCCAATCGGACACCACCGCCATCGGACATCATATTCTCACCAACGGCATATCCGAGACAGGAGAGCAGAAAGTCGAGCTTGCCCGTCCAGTTGCCTCTCTCGGGGTTTTCGTCTCCTTCGTACAGGTTGTCGGCAGACGGCGATGTCTCGGCTGGCTGCTGTTCTTCGGCCTATCGATACAAATGGTTTAAAATTATAAGTATGTCATCTATCTATTGATTAATTTGAGCGTAATGTACTTCTAAAGAACTTTAGATCTTTAATTCAATAAATTTAATCTAAATTTAATAAATTTTAATAAATTTACATCTGTATTATGAATATAAGGGACCGCAACTCGGTGCATGTGTCACTATTTGTGATGTTTTTTTTTACATGCATACCTATAGATTGGACGCTGTTTCTAACGTCGCTTACCACTTGTTATTAGGTGGCCAAACACCCGAGAAAAAGGATGGGGCTTAACCCGCGCCGTGCTGCGGGGGCGGGGCGTGTTTACGCCCTCCCCCTCAGGTTTTTCGCGAATAGCGCCGCCGTTTTTCGTAAACCTGTTCATACATTATTTCTGCACATGTAAAAAAATCAGACCCGGATTATTTAAGGTCAGGTCACCAGGTCACATCAAGTGACCTCCTCAGAAAAAAGTTCAAAGGATCGCTATAGCTGACTGAACAACCTCTTTCAATCTTTCAGCGATTGATATGAGTAACAGTAAGCATAAAATGTACATCTCGGATTTTTACGAGCGAGCGAGCGCAGCGAGCGAAGCGAGTCTTTTCAATATAACGGAAAAATCTCAGTATGAGCGGCCCGGCCCGGCCCGGCCTGTAACGCTTTTGAGAGGCTTATATCTCAGCAACTGCTGGACCGATTGGCCTGAGGTCTTTTTTGCTGGGTAGCCCCATCCCTTCTACCCCGTAATTGACTACTTTTGACACATCTCAGTGACCGTCGTGGCACGTGCCACGTGAAAAGTCAGGGGTGTTCAAGCTGTTTTGCAAAAGTAGTGATTTTGAGAGGCTCATATCTCAGCAGCCGCTTGGGCGATTGTCTTGCGGTAATTTTTGTAGGGTAGCTGCATCCCTTCTTCCAAAGGTCGGATACTCTTGATCTATGTGAATGACCCCCACTGCACGTGCAAAATAAAAAGAAGAGGTGCCAAATTTGTTCCCATTTCAATAACTCGGTAATTACTGGGGCGATTTCGCTGAAACTTGGCATACAGGTAGGCACCCACCAGGCAATGCATTCCCATGTGTTGCGGTTAGGGTGCTACTGCACGTGCGCACGTGCAGGGGGCGCTTCCAGATCTCGAGAACGGCTGGGCCGATTGCGCTCAAATTTGGTACACGGCTAGGGACCGGTTAGTAGGGTGCCGTGCAAAAGTCAGCTTGGACCCCGTTTGCACGTGCGCACGTGCAGAATGCCGCTTCCAGATCTCAGGAATGGCTGGGCCGATTGCGTTCAAATTTGGCACACCGCTAGCGACCGGTTAGAAGGGTGCTTTGCACAAGCCTGTTGGAAGTACCCTCTCGCCTTTCCGCACGTGCAGGGCTCACTATCTCGCTCGCTCGTTCTTCGCCCAAAAGGCGTTTTACTGGTTTTATATCTGTGACCTAAGGCCAGGTTAATTTTGCGACATCTCCATTATAAGTCAATAGGAGAAAATTGAAATGCGCCTCTTTTGGACGAATGTCGTTCAAAACGCTGTCAAACATCGGTTCATAGGTAATCATGACACACTGAATCCGAAAAATGCACCTGTGAACCCTTTGTGTGCCCTGGAGGTCATCTCAGGTTATGAACGGTCACCAGCAGTTTTTTTTGCTATAAATTTTGATAGAGACGTGTAAGAGCGGTGAAAACACGCCAGATGTGTTCAGCTTGACGATACGGATCGACTGATATGCAGCATGACCCTTTCCGGTTAGGTCATGATCTTGACCTGAGGTCAAATTTTCAAAATGACCTTTCAAGTTCAACAAATAGTTCATTCGACGCGTCTTGACGGAGGAGTAGGATGCTGACAAAAGTAATGTCGTGGCTTTCTTGAGTCAAAGTTACAGGTGAAAAAAACATTTTTCGTAGAAGCGGCTATTTTTAGCGTTTTTGCCCTCCGGAGGTTAACCGTTTACCTTAGGTCAAATCTGAGAACAATAATCAGAAAGGTCTATAAAAGGGCTATCGAATGCGCTTTTTCGCAGCACTGTAACTCTGTTGGTTCCCGAGTTAGCCGTTGGCAATTTCCAAAGTTATTGAAATGGAATATTTTTGTCAAATGTCAAACATTTGACATTTGATGACCTCTGGTGACCTGACCTTTGACCTGACCTAAAAATGACCGAAGTGTCTCCGTCAATCATTTTGACGCTCTATCGGTTGCCGCTTACCGCTGTCGCTACGTGGCCCAGGAGCCGAGTTAGAGGGGGACGTGAAAACGCCCCCCCCTCCTCTCAGCACGACACGTAAAACTCAGCCCACCAGCACTGCGCGAGTTAAAAGCACCCCCAGCATCGATGTACTGCGATCATCTCACAACGACCTCATATCTCACAGATATAACCAGCGAACTGAAGATAAAGGTCACTTGCCTTTTTCTCGTCCAGTTCCATTGCTGAGTGAGATTCCCCGTTCTGACCCATTGAATCAGCCGAGATCACACCGCTTAAGAACCAGGTGACCTTTTACAGCACCCCTCTCCGGGATCACATCCGAGGCCTGAGGGTACCCGAACAGTTCTGTCCTCACAGGCTCCCGTACCGAAACTTTACGGCCTCGCACCTCAGCTGAGCAGATATGACGTCACTCACTGCCGGGCCTTCATTGGCAGATAGAGCCGAGGACTCATCAATGGGCGATATAGAGCTAAACACACGACAAATATATCAGGCTTCAAGAATAATGATGTGGATAACACTTCCGTGTGATGCTTGCACTTTGCTTTCATTCCGCCTTCCGAACTTTATTGATTTAGCTATCGGTTTACTTTGTTCCCATCCTTTGCAATGTCTGCATTCGTGCACCTATTTCCCTGGTAGCTATACAGACAAAATATTTCCTTTAACTAGAACTCAATTAATGTCAAGAGATTTTGTATTTGTTTATCCCCCACGAACGTTAGATTGGTCGTTCGAGAGGCCATTGTCAATGGTCATGGGATCTACATGGGATCTGTAGCGTTATTGATGATATTGGCATTGTTCAGAATTCAGATAAATATTTACAATGCCAATGCTTATAGGAAAGATGTTGGCTTACAGCGTTTGAAGCCGCTATCGCCCTTCAAAATTACATACCGATATTAATGTGTTCATCCAAGAAACGTGCCAGTGTTCCAGACAAATCGCATCCGCTACAGCATATGATATATTCGGGACAGTTCGGTATTATGGGTGCACTGTTTGATGCTAGCACACGTGTTCATATTTTGTGCATGGACATTTGACTTTTTTAAATGACAGCTATTGTGCGATTGCATAAAAGTGTATCCATAAAATCAATCCATTTATTGATCATTGCACCGGAACACTGGTCATCAATCATTTTCAACAGACCTAGGTAATAAAAACATCGCCACTTTGAAAAGCAGATTTCCTTGAATGCTCATATACTGGCCAACCATTACGCAAGGAATCAGTCATCAGACTTCATAGTCGCCTTCATTGATTTCATACATAACATGAAGCAGCAATAACACTGTCAACTGTCAAGCATTAAATAGGTAGAAAGCAAGTATATACACTGAGGCAGGCATGTACAATGCAACTTACACAGTTCAGACACACATTCATCTCTCGCACTTCTGACTGAATGAGGCATCTCATCTCGCACCCGTTTGTAATTAAGTACTGACATCGGACAGACTGTGTAGAACACGCATAAACACATTTCAGTCGCAGTAATAGCATAACAATCATTTCCATATATGGAATACCGCAAAAGTGCAGCACGTTGCCACACATTACATCTGCACAACTTACTCCCTTGTATATGTCAGGGAGGTATAAATTAGGTACATGGTACTCCTTCTCACCAATTCGAATAAAAAATGCCCGAGATCTCCCATCGTTGGTCTAGCACATCGTGGCTCGGCAGCTCTTGTATCTGTGCATTAAAAAAGAAAAGCGTACGATATTCGGCGGAATTAGGTACACGAAACCTGAATCCGACACTGGTATAAGGTATTACGATAAATAAGTACCTTTAGACACAAACATAACACACTTTGGCTTTAAGCTCTAACTCGCAGACATTACAGTCATGGAAAACAAGCGGAATCATGAACAAGTACCGCTTGTTCACCGAATCGCATAGAGATCATCGTGTCGCTGAGAAGCAAGAACAAAAAATACTTCAGAAGCTGTAGCTGAACTCCCAGCAGCCGGCAGGTTGTCCAAGCATGGGTCCTTGATAATCCCAAAGTTGACGTCTGACTCCACGTTGTCTACATGTGAGTGGTGACCTCGAGGCTGCTGGTGTTGTCGATGCCAGCCTCGGCAGCGGCCGTCTTCTCCCGGCTGGCGATGTTTCGCGAGTGTTCGAACCAGCCGTCCGTGGGCCGAATGCAGTTCAGCAGGCGCTGCGGCAGACGTGGGTAGTGTCAGACAAAGACTAAGGGTTTAGGGAGCTCCAGCTGGCACCTCAGTATGACGTGTTACTTCCTACCTGAGCTTTATACTGTTAGCGAGAAATTCAAAACATCTAGATATTTCTGTAGAAAGTTTGCAGGATGTAAAATAATAAATTGCATAGCGCCCCTAAGATTTTTGCCACCATCAGCTCATTCCATTAACGAAACAATCCATTTTAAAGAATATAAAGAGCCAGAAGAGATAGGCAGCAAAAGCCACACATGGAATGCATACCTAAACATCTAAACAGTGCAGCAGCATCCAAAAAGTCTCCAAACAATCACCACTCTGCTCCTCACCTCCTTGATGCCGCCATCCTCCTCCCAGACGATGTTGTAGATGAAGCCGACTGGCACCGTGGCGATGATGACCATGGCGATGGCCCAGCCGATGCCGTTCGCCCAGCCGGGGTACGTGTAGTCATCCACCTTGTACGGCTCGTAGTTGATCCAGCTCAGCAGAAGTATCGACTGAAACAAGAGAGCGCATGAGGTCAGCGGCGTCTGATGGTTACTTGTTGACCCATACCCTCCACGAACCACATCCATGTTATATCAAACAAAATCCAATTAACATCCAGCGTCTTTTTGGCTGTTGTTTGCTGCTCTTCTTACCCCGACCAGGAGAGGAGACACGGTGCCGTAGATGGCCGTGATGTGCGCCTTCAGCCGGAAGCCGGGGCTGAAGCCCATGATGTTGGTGAGGTCGCGGTAGTAGTTTCTGATGCCGTACATCCAGTACATGGCCAGAAGCTCCACCAAACCGATGAAGAGGTAAGGCCAGCCGGCGGCGTAGTTATCCAACAGATCGACTATGTAGCGCCCACCCTGAAACATGGACAGCACCGGTGAGGTTAGTGGCTCCAGACAAATCCACAGAAGACAAACATCATATGGCTTACGCATAAGGCAGCAAATTTCCGTAAGATCTGAAGTTCGAAATCGTTCATACACTTGTTCGCTTATTTGAAAGAGAGCATGATAACATCGAGGCAGAGAGTTACTTTGAGGCCTTACGCACCTGAGTTGTGAGCGGGATTCCGAGCAAGAACAGTGTCGAGCAGATCCCTACAACCACCCAGGACTTCCACTGGCGCAGCTTCGGGAACTCGTCCAGAATGCAGGTGATGATGTTCTCCACGATGGCGAACTGGGAGTCGAGTCCGAGGGTGAAGAGCATCAGGAAGAAGAGCAGCGCCCAGAGAGTGGAGACGGGGAGACGAGTCACCAGCTCTGGGTAGGCCACGAACGCCAGACCTGTTAAGAAAAAGCAGTTCAACATAAGACCTCTGGTCCCGAGATATTTCCGAAACGTTACGTGCGTCAACATGGTGGGCGTGACACACTGATGAAATAGTTCCATTCGCATTGAAGCAAATGTTTCAACTTCCCTTCCTTCCATGCGGAACTTACCTGATCCACTCTTGACGACTTCAGAGACGGGCACTCCGAGCTCCGATGCCATGAATCCCAGGACGGAGAAGATGGCGAATCCAGCAAACACGGACGTAAAGCAGTTGCCGAAACACACAATGAACGTGTCCCTGTGAATAAACAATAATTTGGCGATCAACAACCTTGCCAAACTGCAAAAAATATATTGCTTTCAATTTGGTCTTTTAAAAAATGAAGCAAATAAAGGACAGGAGCATTGGGTAATAAAGCAACAATATCTTTCGCCAGTCCAGCAGTAAGCAGATACCTTTACGTGAAACGTTAAAAAGATGCCAATCTCATCTATGTAAATAACATGGTTCATTATAATTTGTAAGCAATACGTGAAATGCCATCAGCCTGCGCCGGCAACTTCACAGAAAACTTACCTGATGACATTGTTATGAAACTTGTTGTAGCTGGCAAGAGTGATCAGTCCTCCGCTGGCAATACTGAGCGAGTAGAAGATCTGAACGGCAGCCTGCACCCAGACATCGATGTCGCTGAGTCTGTTGAGATCCGGCACCATGTAGAACTTGATGCCCTCGGAGGCGCCGGGCAGCGTTACGCCGCGGATCAGCAGGATGATGAGAACCAGGTACGGGAATAGCGCAGTGAAGTAGACCACCTGTTGGACAAATGGTATAGAAATAGTCAGAGAAAGGACACGCAAGCATCATGGATAGCCGCGCCCTGCAGCATGTGAAGTATCTATGATTATGAATTTCAATGTCCGCAACCAGATAGGTCCGCCAGCTTACTGCATGCTAGCATAAGGCCTGGCAGTTTCCAGGCTCCAGCGTACCTTTCCGGAGGACTTGACGCCCTTGATAAGCGCGGCGCCGACCACCACCCAGGCGATGAGCAGGGAGACCACCAGGCCGGTCTGGACGCCTCCGAGGTCGCCGATGCCGTCACTCAGGCCCAGAACGTGCAGGTTGAAGTACTCCTCAGCGGCTGCAGCGGCAGAGCGAGTCGTCAGACATGCGAGCGGGACATTGCCACCTTGTCGTGGGAGATCTTATACCTTCGCTTATTTGTTTGAAATGCGATGAAGTATCAAGAATCTCTGCAACCTCTTTATGAAACTCGACCTTCGACATTATCTGACCACCATGTCTTCCCATATCCTTTCTAAACGGACCCTGAAGAAGAATATTAAGAAGAGTTGTCCACGTTAATACTTACGGGAGACTCTGTCCTCCTTGGGCACGGTGCTGTTGACGCCTAGGATGTCGGCCTCTGTGCGGTTGGTGATGCAGTGGCCGTGGTTGTAGATCCACCACGTCGACTCGTTGTAAGTCATGTTACACTGCTGGTACTCGTTGTAGTTGAAACAGTCTGCGAGCAAAGGAAATAACTTTGATTTTGAGCCCATTTTTACTTCGGCAGGACAATGGCATACAAATGGAATATATTGACGATCGTAAAGATCGCTTATCAACTCCAAAATGCTAAAAAGGCTAAAAACACTGGAAATGGAAAGTAAACTGGGGAGTGCTACGGCGACAATGAAGTATCAGGGCAGAGCCCGAGTTTTTTCTTTAATAAGAAGAGTTGGGGGTATACTCACTGGGCGTGTTGTAGTCGTGGTTGCAGTACTGCCAGGGCAGGTCGGACGTCATGCTGGAGTACGTGTAGTACACCGTCCACGCGATGATCATGTTGTAGTAAAGGCCGACGGCCACCGAGGCGAGGAACATCGCGACGCCAAGACCTGTTTGGAAAAGTAAGGAAGTAACGTCAATTGACTTTTTGAGAAAACATGCGTTGATTTTGCTACTCTTATTTTTGAAAGAAAGCATGGAAATAACATAGACGAAAGCATTTTAACATCGGGTCATCCGTGACCAATAAGCTCTTACCTCTGAGCGCCGGAGCGTAGTTTTTGAAGAGACTGATGGGCGCCAGGGCGCTGTACTGTCCAACGGTTAGCTCCAGGAGGAACAGCGGGATGCCCAGGCCGAACAGCATGATCACGTAGGGAATCAGGAAGGCGCCTCCGCCGTTTTTGTAGCACAGGTACGGAAATCGCCACACGTTTCCGAGGCCTGCAACAGCGGGTCGATACGATTAGGCAATGTACAAGACAAACAACGTCGTGCAAGTATGCACATAGTTCGAGGGCGCTCGATACATTGATTGCAGTCATATGCTAACATTCCAGCCACCTGCTCCCTGAAATGTTACGTTCTCTGCCGCTTTCTTTCCGCCGAAATACATTTCTGCTATTTGTGTCCAAGTAAATCGAATGAGTAAAAAGATACTTCGAATGAAAACATAGTTTGGTACTCTCCTCATCCGTCCTGGCAACTCACCGACGGCATATCCGAGACAGGAGAGGAGGAAGTCGAGCTTGCCGGTCCAGTTGCCTCGCTCAGGGTTCTCGTCTCCTTCGAACAGGTTGTCGGCAGACTGGGCCTCTGGCGCCACCCTTTGGTCGGCCATCTGGGGAGCGGCGCAGGGGTCACTAGGGGCCAGCCCACACTGACGGGAACTGTCAACACTGCACCCCGTGCCACCGCTCGGCGCAGCGCGGAAGAGTAGCCCAGGTAACAGCGCAGGCTGTGCCATAATACAGCACACTGCACAGTGAGGACCGTCCTGCAATGGGCGTGGCCCTCGCACCGCATAGTTCAACTTAGACCACTGCATGTAGGACATACGGGTCATTATGCAGCGTGCAAACAGTGCTTTATGTATGTCAATGTCCATTGTATCGGCAGCAATGCCTTCCGCCTGCGACGTTGACATTTCAAAGACACATTCTTGAGCTACTGGACTTTCGTGTGCGGGATTCATTATTATTGTTGTCGTGAAGTACGCTCTGCACTATTGCGTCAGGCTACATATACTGATTTTCAGCTTGGTTGTGTTAGCAACATCGCTAGTGCGCACTAGCAAAAGTTAATGTATGTTACACAAAGACACGCTCTAAGCTCATCGCATTCTCAGTATATTATCTTAAGTGATGCTAAAATTACTGGGCAGTGGGCGGGATTTACATTCTAGCTCACGGTGCAAGATTCCATTATTCCGTAAGGGGTTCCTTGTTAGTATGATATCATTATAACTCTAGCTCATAAGTCATATATGAATTTCATAACTCCATATAAGACATAAGGGATCCGTCTCTAAATAATAGTGAATAGCTACCAAACCCGGATCTACATCTGTCTACAGAACGTCATTTCCGCACAACTGGGGGTGTTCCGCAGTGACGCAGCAGACAGCGGCTGCCGGCGGCTGCAGCCACATCCCCCCCCCCCCCAGAATCACCACTTCCATTCGCCGAGCGGCACCTTCGGTAGCACCGCGCTTACGTCACCCGCCGTCCTGACCGTCGGGTACGAACTTACCGAGACGATATCTTGTTTACCCACGTGTAGGGAACACATGACCTCGGAGAAACAATGACCAAGTGCCGGATCGTGCGAACAGCGCTAACGCAACGCTGGGGAATCACGATTGTGGGAGGGATTGCAGGAAGTGAGCTGATTGCAGAGGAGACGGTACGCAGCAGGACGGATTTCACTGGCAACTTGATAAATGATTGCAGGTATGGTGACGTAATACATTGAGGTCGTGTATGATACCTGGTTTATAATATTTCCGCTAGCCAAGGTATATAAGAACACTTCGCTATAACTTGTGTGTGTGTGTGTGTGATAAACAGACAATAGTCGTTTTCACGACGGGTTTTCTGGCGAACGCACCAAAATTGACCAAATCTGCACCAAACCTAGCTTTTACAACAATGATCCTCATATCATGAAATTATTTCGGCGAGTAAAACAAATGTCCGATAATTTGAAAAATCATGTATCAAAATCATGCAACCGCGCAGCCCAAGCTGATAACTACTAAGAAACACAATGAACCTAATTTGTCCAAATTTGCACCAAATATGCACCGATTCTGCACCAGATGTGTGCCAACTGTGTACAAGATAGCCGTCGTGAAAACGCCAAATGGCCTTCGTCCCGGGGCGTCCTTAAACTCAAACCATCAGCAAGCCACGTCGCCAGAACGGCTATTGTAATTAAAAACAGCAAACAGATATTACAAAATGAATGAATACGGAAAAAATGTAACTCTTCTACTTAATAAAACATTCCTGAGATGGAATGACAGGTACGAAGTACCGTTACGCATTAGCATGACCGAAAATGATCGAGCTGTCGCTTTTTTACTTGCTTTAAGTGCTTTACGATCGCGATTATGTATTATAGGTAGGTATATCGCAATATCAGATATCAATTATTCCTAGCCTCTAACAATATTTAGGCATGTTTTGAATCTAAGATACCACGAAGAATCACATCTCCAAGAAACGAAAACTTTCATGTGATAAATCGCACGCTTGCCTGTTGCCTTATGGCCTATGCGATGATGGATTGGTTAATGGTTGGAATAAGATCACTGGAAAATGATAAAATGTTATGAATAAAAATATCTTACATTGGATTATGCTACACCATAAAATGTTTCTTTTTCCGAATTAAATCCTTCACCCTTTCTCCATTGTATTCATCAACAACCCGATTTATAATGGTCCGTTCAACCGACAGCGCATTTGTTTGATAAAGCGATTGAAATGACGTATGTAGGTATAGGCAACAAATACAAGAACAAATACGGAACGCAATCGATCATGAAATGGCTTGTGCTTTAATTTTTAGTTTATTTGCGACTTATATACGCCTCCCGGCAGGAATGTTCTGCAAAATACAAATAAGCGATCGTGTTTCGGCTTTACGCGCACATCATTTGCTACGCCTGCTAATGACAGGTGATTGTCCGTAATAGCGTATACTGAGATCGCCTAACGTTTTTTGTACCTATGTATTTATGCAGAAGAAAGGGCTGGGCGCGGCTGCATAAAGCTACCTTTTTAGGATCTTGTCTTTCTACAATGTGTTTTGGCGTTACTTGATCAAAATAAATGAGTACATGTTTTATTTTCCCCAATGAGTGTTCTCTGGAGCAGCGCCTACCTCATTGTCGATGTCCTCTTTGGCCATATTTTGTCAGAAGAGCTGATCGGTCCGTATCGTCCAGTAGATCCAAAACCCGCAGCCACTCTGCAAAACGTTCCACTGCAGAGTTCGACCACCGATCGATTCCAGTCCCACACTAAGTGTGAACACTTTCCTGTTCACCAATTATACACTCGACGGCCGCGCGGCACGCAATGACGTCATCGAACGGCGGGCGGTGATTGGTCGAGCGAGCTGTAGTGCAGCGAGCACGGCTAGGGGAATACCAGTTCGCGCGGCCTTTCCGTCTGTGATCAGTCAGTTACACGGTATCTGGTCTTGGAATGATAACAGGGTCTGGTGGTAGGACATGACGTAACAACTCTGAGTGACCAAGGTTGGGCTATTCTGGGCAAGTGAGTCAGGACTGATGAACATGGGCGTAGGAACCCCACGAAAAGTTGGAGGGCCAGCGAAACCTAAATGTCTGTTTGTGAGAGCCCCAATAACCCTATGAAGAAATTCTTTAAAGCTTCTGCAATTACTTGTGGCTCAAACCGTTCATAGCATTTAACCCGCGCCCCGCTGTGGGGGGGGGGGCAGAATCTACCCCCCCCCTCCCGTTTGTCGCCAATAACTTCTAAACGCGTTACGCCAGCGACGTCAAACTTTCAGTACCTTATCATACATCAATTTGACACGTTTCCTGAAAATTTGAGCGAAATCCGTCGGAAAATTTTTGAGAAATTGACGTTTTAGTGACGTCATGTTCGCCATTTTCACCTCAAAAACGGCAAAATTTCAAACGCCGCTAACATCCTAATTTTTTTAAGGAATCAAGACGTAACAAAAAGGTTATACGTGATTTTACTTTGTCTATCAAATGGCTATCTCGGTTTTTTGAAAATTTTGGATTTTGGCCCAAATTTTTTTTCTTAAAAAAAACTGACTTTTTTGGGAAAATATCTAAAAAATCCAAAATTTTGAGTGTATCGAAAAACGGAATATATGTCAAAGAAGTGGTCTATGTGCACCTACATACCAATTTTTAGAAGAATCGGTTCGAAAATGTGGGAGTTATTCAAAATTTTATGACATCACGACAAACAAAAATTTTTAAAAATGATTTTTTTTGGACGTTCTAGACCTCGTACGGAAACAAAAGTAGCACCATTCGATTTGCCGTGAAAAACTGCATCAGATAGACACCTTTTTAGGCCTTAACAACCAACTTCAAAATTTGACCTCACTTCCCAGCCAGCAATTTTGCTCCGGGCCCAAGCAGGCTCAAGTGCGGATTGCCCGAGATTTTTAGTCGGGCTAAAGTCGGCTAGGGCTTGGGCTAAAGTCGGCGTATGACACAGAAACGCCGACTAAAGCCCATGCTCTGCCGGAGGTATGCCCGCTCTGCGAGCTCAGGGCAGCCGTAGTTTAGCCCTAGTTGAGCGACGATTGGCGTTAGCCCGATTTAAGCCCGAGCAGTGAATCCATTTATATAATGGAAATTACTCTGGGCCCGAGCGGGCTGAACTCCGGGAAGCCCACTCTGTGTGCCCTGTCTATCCCGACTTAAGCCATAGAAGTGAATGGGGTTTATACATTGCAAACTGCTGTGGCTTTGCTCGGGTTCGGCTCGAGTGACGGCTCCTGTTTTCTCAAGTCTCGACTTGACTTCATCTTGCTTTTGCTTCACACTGGATCAAGTAGCAATGAGCAGCCAATGCACTTTCAGCAGGTTGTGTGGTTTTAATTAGTGGTGTCAATTTCAGAAAACTTATGTTTAATGTCCGTCCAATGTCCAATACTTACGTCGACTGTCCGTCCAAAAATGTCCAAGCCAGCCATTTGTCCAAAGATGTCCGACATCTAGGCAATAGTTTACACTCAACACCGTTATTTAATTTGCTTTTAATGTATCGTTACCAGCTCAAAAGTGTTTATCATATGGAAAACTGAGCTTTCTAATGGCCAATCAATGTTAAACACGATTACTTTATAAAAAAAAAAAAATTGAGGTGTAGCAAGCGATTGTCCAAAGTTGTCCAAAGCCTGCTGTCATTGTCCAACCAAATTCCGAATTGGAAATTGGACAAAATCGGAATTCCGAAGATTCAAGTTCCGATTGACACCACTAGTTTTAATGCATATTTAAAATTGCTACGGTCACTCATATGCTCTGTTAACCGGTCATCGAGCATTGCGAAAGGAAAGTATTGGTTGACTTTGATTGAATGTTTATTTCAAACGACTACAGACACGTCAAATGAAACACAATTACATGAAACAGTGGACTGCAAACTGCAGCAATAATATGGCATGAGTCATGAAAAAGCGCCATCAAAACTATAAATCAATCACAAGACCCGCTAGCCTTCCTCCCCGTTCGGCGTTCATAATACTTGGTTGAACACTTAACCGAAAGCATAAAGTAAGGACAGCAAGTAATCGCTCATAAGACATAAAGCAATTAGCAAACAATCGTTTATAAAGAACTTCACTCTGGTGAATGGGAGCTTTGGAGGCGTCTGGCTCCTCCACACACACACATCTGCAGTAGGTGGTCGGCCAGCTTTCGGCGCAGTTTCCGTATATGTAGGTATACCTACTTAATTATAAGCAGGCAGTTTCCGCTAAACCACTTGGCGAGGGCGACAGCGGCGTCCACCCGGTCCTGGTTTGTATAACTATTCCATTTTTTGGAACCATTTGCTCTAATGGTACGTACCTGAAAAAGAGATCAATTGGTTTAATTTATATTGCATGTTTGCTTGAAAAATAACTTCTTGTTGCATTAATACTGTAACAGCACTTCTCATTGATCCGTATAAAATGTTCATTCGAATTTTTCAACGCGGACAGAGAATGAGCGTGCTCGGTGATAAGTAGATAAATATTTTTGTTTGGTATTTCATTTTCCTGGTTCAGAAGTCAGAAGTGCTGGTATTTCACAAAGATATACATAAAGGCACGGAATGCAGCTTTTCTGAGCGAGGGTATAAGTCGCCAGGCTGAACAGCTATTCAGCTTCATGTTTGATGGCGTGAAACTCAGTCAAAATAATGACGTTTACATACGATCAAGTGCACCATTCAATACAATTACCTACCGTAAAACTCCATGCCAGTCCACTTGATAAGAGCAATGAGCAGTGCACTATCCCTTCTTCGCGCTGTCACACGCGCCCAAACATCAACCACCAAATGCCCCAACACCGGTGTGTCGTTTCGTCGCACAGCGCGCAGACTGTCACAAACGCTGCACATGATTGGCGCAGAACTGCGCATGCGCGAACAGCCGAACAAGTATGGCTAAACTCCGGCTTTACTCCAGTTAGCCGAAGGACACAGCCAGCTTGATCAGCCCGCGCTCCGCCCAAGTTAAGCTTGTTTTGGATGCGTGGGCAGATGTCGGGCTGAGCTACTGCTATCCGCACGTGGGCATAGCTGCGGCATGCCCAAGCTCAGCCCTAGTAAAAAATACATTGGTTTTGATCAAATTGGGCAAACCCAAGCTAAGCCCAAGCTGCCCGACGTTTGCCAGAGTTCAGCCCAAGTGAATTGCTGGCTGGGTTGACCTGACCTTGACCTGACCTCGACCTGAAATTCATCCAGAGGTGGTCCATATCACTTATTGAGTGTGCCTATTGAATTCTATGAGTAAAATGACCCATAAAACATGCGTCGCACATGCCCTTTTCTATATTTTGTTTTTGGTGACCTGACCTGGTAAAATTTACCCCCCCCCCCCAGCCCCGCGCGTTCGGCTGGAGACCCCAGCCCCGCGCGGGTTAAGATCCGCCTCGTTGAGAGCTTTCGATTGCCGTTTTCCCCGTCTTTCTACGACCATCGGTTCGGAAGTTAGACAGGGGGGGGCAGAATCTGCCCCCCCCCCCCCAGCAGGGCGCGTATGGCTGAATAGCCCAGCGGGGCGCGGGTTAAATTACCGGTACCTATCATGTTTCTCTCGTCGAAACTGGTCGAAGGAACTAAAGCTTGACCTTAAAAGGCCATTTTGTATATGTAATAAATGGTCAAGGTCATAATCTGACCGGAAAAGGTCATGTTGCATATCAGTCGATTGGTATCTTTGAGCTGAATATATCCAAAGTATTTTATCGATCTATGCATCCATATAAGTTATTAAAAAAAAAACTGAAACACATTCTTGACCTGAAGTGGCCTCAGAGACCTTGGAGGGATAATGGGTGCAACTGCAATGTTCATTCTTAGGTGTTGTTTTTATCCGCTGGGACTGAGAGCGTGAGATGATGTTTTTCGTACTCCAGCGTAGATGGGTAGCCATACGGCTTCCACGGTTGACAGTGATGACATCAGTCATCTTTTGCAAGCTCGTTAAAGATTTGGGCTGTACGGGGAATCGAACCCCGGGCCTTTGGATTAGCGCTCCAATGCTCTACCTCTGAGCTATACAGACCAAGTACTTCAACGAGCTTTCTGCCAAGTTTTATGCGGATCATTCGATTCCCCGTACAGCCCAAATCTTTAACGAGCTTGCAAAAGATGACTGATGTCATCACTGTCAACCGTGGAAGCCGTATGGCTACCCATCTACGCTGGAGTACGAAAAACATCATCTCACGCTCTCAGTCCCAGCGGATAAAAACAACACCTAAGAATGATCCGCATAAAAGTTGGCAGAAAGCTCGTTAAAGTACTTGGTCTGTATAGCTCAGAGGTAGAGCATTGGAGCGCTAATCCAGAGGCCCGGGGTTCGATTCCCCGTACAGCCCAAATCTTTAACGAGCTTGCAAAAGATGACTGATGTCATCACTGTCAACCGTGGAAGCCGTATGGCTCGCTGGAGTACGAAAAACATCATCTCAAACTGCAATGTTCCGTTTCAATACGCAATATTATCCTGTTAAACCATATTTCAGAGTGTAAAGAATGGCCTTTGTCCTAAAACGTAGTAATTTAATTTTCTCCTATCGACCGATAAGGGAGAGGTCACAAAATTGGCCTGAACTTGTGTTATTGATATCGAAAATCGGAGACCGAGATCAACGTTTTGTACATCCCGTCATTTTTATTAATCGCTGGAAGTTTTAGCGTAATCAATTATTCAGTGTAGGTGTGACGAGCATGCAAACTTTTTTTAGGTTAGGTCACGTAAGCATTTTCTTTTAACTTCTCAATACATGACCTGGATATGCCCTGATGAACTGACCTTGAACGACTGGGGTCTGAAATTTTGATAAAGTGTGCCGAAAAGATGCATCAAAAGGTGTATCGGTATTTATATGTGTGAAAATGGGCAGGGGGTGTTGAATCCCCCCGCCCGACAAGGGTACCCCCCCTCCCCGCCTTACACGGCTAAAACCCCCTTCCTCAGGTCTTGGTGTTCTGGTGAGACAATAGACAAAGACATATATTTCGACCTTCCGGACAGAACATATTTAGCCATAAAATTGGTGCAAAATAAGCAAATATTAAATTAGGTCTCTCTAAGTGTATTCAGTTAGCAGAGCTGTCACGTACACCATCTCTCTCCGCCTCTCATATTAACCGTTCTCCGACATTTCGTCTCGTCACTTTGTTGATTCCCACCACGTGATGCTCACTGCAAAGAGCTCAGTGACCAGTACGTAGACGCTGCGTGGCCCGGTGACTGGCCGTGCTTTCCACCGCCAGCCGTGATTCACCTGCGTGCGTGCCGTCATGTCAGCACGGTCCGTCCGGGAAGCACGTCTCACACCCTGCTGAAGACGCTGACGTTCCGAGAGCCGGCCTCCGGCACTGCCCCTCCCCCCTCCCTGCCCCGCACGCCGCCCCCTTCCGGCCGCCGCGCCGACCGTGGTCTGTGGCCGTGACGTCACAGCCAAGGTTGCTCGTACCGCTGCGCCGCGCCGTGGCTGTTCGAGGTTTGCCTGACGACTGCACCCCTCCCCTTCCGCCCCATCCCCGCTCCGCCTCCTCCCGCCACGCCGTCTCGCCTCTGCTCGGACTGAACCAATCGCATGGTCACCCGCTGGTGACGTCAGAGGTTCTGCCGATTGGTCTGTTATGCGTGGTAAAATGGTCCGCTTATCAGTGTCACGCACTGATTTTATTGGACAGTGACCAATGACCGTGTGACCAATCGATACCAATGACCGACCATAAGGTGCCACAGCTGTATTTGCAGTGCACTCATCAATGACTTGCACCGCCGCGTTGCTGTGATTGCATGTTTTTCGAGCTGCAGGGTGACATGAGTCAGACCAGAAGCCGGCCTTATGGGCAGTGGGCTGTAAATATCCTATACATTTCCTGACCGGAAACCATCTATTGCCAGCAACCCTACACATGGAGGTCCAAAGGCTGTATGTCTGTTTGATCTCTATTCTCTATGGTTCAAGACACCTTTGATTGTTGATCCTTCAGCTGGTCCGATTCCCAGCAGCTCATGGTCCACCCGATGGCATTGGTCCAACTTTGGGCGAATCATGGTTCGACGGTCCGATGGTCCGACTTGGTCCGACTCCAGGTGACTCATGGTTCGATGGTCCGACTCCGAACCGTCTATAATAGTCCGACTCCAGTCTGAAACGACCCTATGCCGGATGCTCTGTTGGCACCGTGATGTTTGCAAGTCATGGCTCGCATTACATCGTTCCTCCGTGCTCGTGATTCAGGCTGCAGTGGTGGGTACTTTCCAGCTACATTCCTGGCCATGATCGTAAGCCAGCAGTCATCTCTACCGGGCCAACTGTGCTCCAGACTCCACTTGCCGAGCAGTGGCCGCACAACATTCAAACAACACAGATTATGTACTATCCAAATGGCGGCATGGTGCCAAAGAAAAGCTTTCGGATGCAGCATGCAGGTTGTGTTGTAACAAAGTCCGTAACATGGCATAGTCTCAGCAATACCGACACAATCTGTATGCAATGCGAACACCCACTAGTGCCCACGAGCCATTCTCGACAGGGTAATTAGCGGGCGCCGTAACGGGTCTATAATCCCACCGCTGCAATGACCGGGTCTGTTACATGATCTGGCCTCCGGAACTGGAGCTGTGAGCTTTTGAGACAAACGAGCTGAGTGAACTGAGGCTTATAGTCTATTTCGTTCGTTATTTCTGGACTTCAATCAGCGCTTTTATTGTTATATAGATCCGGGCTCATGTGATGATGAAAGCCAGCACTAAAAGCATTAAATGGTTTTCCTACAGAGACACATTTGACAACAAAGATAAATATTGAACCCATGTGATGAGGCTTGGCTGTGGCACTGGCAGCCACGCCCGCCACGGGGCCAATACGGAGGGGAACGGAAGGGAGCGATTAATTAAACGTTTATCCATTTTTGACATAACGTCTATTGGCGTTGTATGAAAACCTCGTCACCTCCATCCTTCGTCATGGCATGCGCCCCCCCCCCCCCCCAATTCCCCGGCGCAGAAAACTTCGTCTTCGTCTGTGTTCTTTGCTGATGCAATGCACACAATCCATACGACACAAGGATGAGCAAATGGAAAAGTTTGAAGCGGCTCATGAGCGGGCTCCTTCCGCGCCGGCCGGCAGCCGACGACGTCGCCGACGGCCTCCGGTATGACGTCACCCCGTCGGCGGGTTACATCACCCGTAGAAACCGACGCGGCACCGCCGGCTCGGCTCCTGACCGGCCGACCTTGCTCTGGACGGGCGACAAGCCGAGGCAGCACGCACGCGCCGCAGGAATCGTGTGCCATCGATTTCGGCGCGCGCCGCTCCGGGCTGCGACAGGTCGGTGCCGGACGAAGCACCCCCCCGAGTCAGCTGGTGGGTACAGCGGGGGTCAGACAGGGCCAGCTGTCGAACCGGAGCCACACCGTGAGGCCGTGACGCCGTCTCCGTGCCGTGCCGCCGTGTGAGTGTCGTGACGCGGGTTAGAGTCCCAGCCGGAATGTCAGAGGGGGTCGTTGGTGTGCCGCGAGTCGCCCGCTGCCAGCTCTTTGTTCCCGTACCATCCTCGTTACCGTTCGCCCGGTGTCAAAGACGTCTGGCCGCTAGGTGAGCTGGCCTGGAGACGGAGTGAGAACCACCCATCTAACCGCAACCATGGCCGTGAAGGAGGCACTGAGCCCGCCGGAAGAGACCTCCGACCCGGCGGAGACTGGCTCCGACCACTCGCCGCCGCCTGGCTATGACTCGGGCGACGAACAGTCCACCATCGGCAGTCTGCACAACCCGCGCCTGCGGCTGCAACTGCGCCAGATTCGCCGCCAGGTGAGCCGGCGACGATCGGTGGGCGACGGCCGGCCGCCGCGCTCCGGCTCCCTCAGCGAGCTGTTCGGTCGTCATGCCGCCGCCGCCCCCGCCGCCCCCGCCCCCGCCCCCGCCGAACAGCCGGAGGACGAGGTGGTCATCGACGGAGGCTACGGCTGGGTGGTGGCCTTCGGAGCCTTCCTGGCCAACTTCTGTATCGCCGGCACGGTCAAGTCGTACGGCCTGCTGAACCTGATGGTGATCGAGACGTTCGGAGTCAGCGCAGCCGAGGCGGCCGTGGTGCCCAGCCTGCTCCTCACCATCGGCCTGCTCATCTGTGAGTCAGAGTAGCTTGGAGCCGAACGGCTCATTTCTATTCGATAAGGCGCCCTATAAGTAAGATGACTGAAGGCAAAAACAAATCGGTTGACTTCCTGGAAGAAGGCTATTGGAGAACACGCGACGACTCGTTTGGAAAGTTCACGGAACAGCTTGATCAGCGGGCTAGGAAGGAGCTCTTGGTGTGCTTATTGTATCATTGAAATCGTTCTAGCAGTTCAGGAGATGTTGATAAGATATCAAAGATTAAGTTTTGTCCTTCTTTATGCGGAAATATTCACACAAAAAATCATCTAAAGTCAAATCATTTGTAAATTATTTGTACGATGTCACCCTGAAGGGATCACAGATATTTACGTCTCGTATCTTTCGAGGCATCAAAGCATTCAATGGAGGTTTAATGTTGCGTCATGTGTTTAAGTTTGGTGAAATTTAAGCCTACGTTCCATGTAGCTTCTTCCACGTCACATGCTTTTAAATGTTCAGCGGATATAGTTTGCCCGAAGTAACAAGTTTTTCGAAGTTCTTGTCCTTTCAAAGTTTCATGTTTTTAAATGTCTATTGCGTTCAAGCCCACTTTGCGACGCGGCAGTGTGCAATAGACGTAAGCAATCGGAATCTGTGTGGAAGTGACGTGGCCTTTGAATGAGTCACTGCGCGGCACTGTTGTCATGAGCAATAGCATTATCCACAAAACTTTGCCATTGAGCGCTGAATAGTCACAACTCACAACAAAATCGATGAGGCAAGCGTGAGACGGAAGCATGGCTATACTAAGGCACGCGTAACTCGCATCCAACTTCCAACTAAAAGATAAGAAGTTTATCCTTGCCATTTCTCGGTTTTTACAGCAAATTGATTTCAAAGTAAGGTCAGTGTGGTGTTTTAGACCTTCGAAGAGGACCCACCAGGCTTTCCTGAGCTGCGGTGACACTAGCCTGACAGTGCCTGCCTATAGTCAGCTCATGAGCTAAGGGGAGTTTCGATGACAGGCTCCGTTCCTCCGTGGTTCATTCCTCTTGTCTTGTACTGAGAGTGTCCACCCCATTCCAGCGCCGGTGGTGGGAGCGCTGTGTGAGCGCTTCACCTGCAGGAAGGTGGTCACTGCCGGCGGCATCTTCTGCTTCCTGGGCTTCGCGCTGGGCTCCCTGTCCACCAACATCACCCACCTCTGCCTGACGGTCGGCGTGCTCGGAGGTACGGCAGGGGAGGTGCGGGGAGGGCGATGGCAAGCCAGTCGGAAGGTGGTGACGACGGGACGCGATAACATTTTAGTAACCATTACGCAATGAAGAAGTATGATCGATGGTCGGCGTTCTAAAGCGTTGGACGCGCTGTCAATCTGGAAGATATTTTTCAATCTGACTCGTCACTTGAACGAAGTTTTTACCTACAGAAGTCCTACAGAAGTCCACACGCAACAACTAACCGCTTGGGTGTGGTCTTCTGGCTGTCGATGTTGCCAGGGTCCAGTTCTGAGTGTCAATCAATGTTCAGTGTTCACGGAGGTAACATCGATCGCTGACGCTTCCACGGTTCCCGGCAAGTCGATCGCTGACCGACCGTAACATGAGGCACAGTGCTGGCTCCCGTACGCCACAGGCTATGATTTATCGAGGTCCACTCCTGGCAGCCTATGTACGAATTCGTCACCCCTTTAAATCATTTTTAGGACGCTTTCCCTGAAGTGCATTATGCATATCATAGAGGTACAAGAGGATGCAATATCGTCATTTATACATAGAAGTCGAAAAGCTACCTAATAACACGTACAAACCAATGTTCTTTTGATCATGCTCTGCCTGAACATTGACGTCCAGCCGCCTGTGACACTACAGCTTTACCACATGAACTGGATGTGTTACCTTCCCTGACGCTGTGTATGCTGACGCAGGGATCGGTACCGGCTGCGCCACCACTCCGGGCATCCTGATCACGACCCGCTACTTCCCGACGCGCCGCTCCATGGTGAACGGCCTGGTGCTGGCCGGGAACGCGGCCGGCGGGTTCGCGCTGCCGCCGCTCTACCAGCTGCTGCTGGCAGAGTTCGGCCTGCGCGGCACCCTGCTCGTGATCGGAGCACTCTGTCTGCACGTGGTGGCCGGCGCCGCGCTCGCCCGGCCCATCGCCGTCCACGAGACCGTGCTGCGCCGGCGCCGACAGCGGCAGCGGCGGCAGCGCGACGTTGTCGATGAGGCTGCCGTGGCGCCGCGACGGACTCCCAGCTACACGAGTCTGGACACGGGGCTGGAGACTGCGGAGTACCGCGAGAAACACTCGCCCAGTCAGGTGAGCCTGTCTTCGCGACTGGACATCACGGACGAGTGCTTCGTGAAGCGGCTCAGCCACTCGAGTCTGGCCTCACGACCGGCGCCCAGCGAAGAGCGCTTCTTGCAGCAGTGCCACGCCAGCCTAGCGTCGCGCTGTGACTCCCACGACGGCCACCTGACCAAGCGGCCGCTGAGTCTGGCCAGCCTGGCTGAGCGTCTCAGCTTCACCAGCGCCCCGGCGAGCGACCAGCGGCGCGACAGCCTGGTGCCGCGGCAGGCCGAGGCCCCCACTCACCTGGTGCGGGTGGTGCGGCCCGGTCCGGACGGCCACCCGACACCACTGCTGGTGCAGGTGCCGGCGCGGCTGCGCACCAGCAGCCTGCTCCTCTCCACCACGGACGTCACCACGGACGCCACGTCACAGTTCAACGACGACCTGCGCCGACTGCGCGAGGCGGAGACGTCGTGCGCGCCGCACTTGTACCGTCGCGTGCGGCGCTACCTGGACCTGGACCTGCTGCACAACGCTCTGTTCCTGGCCGTGGCCGCGTCCGTGTTCTTCATGGCAGCAGGAGCGCCGTACGCGCTGATGCAGCTGCCCGTGTTCGGTGTGTCCCGGGGTCTGAGTCGGGCCCAGACGGCAGAGATCCTCAGCCTGGTCTCGGCCGTGGACCTCGTCAGTCGGCTCTGCTTCGGCTGGCTGTTCGACCAGGGCCTGTTCCGCCGGCAACACGCATTCGCCGCCAGGTGAGTCAGCGACACAACGTCTTCCAGCTTGTCCTTGGTGTTGTAATTGACTGGTGGAAAGAGCGATTGACCCTGTCCCCAGCTAGTTTTTCTGCTTTCTACAAAATGGTCTAAACTAGTGAGTTGACTCACCTCTCTCTCTCTCTCTCTCTCTCTCTCTCTCTCTCTCTCTCTCTCTCTCTCTCTCTCTCTCTCTCTCTCTCTCTCTCTCTCTCTCTCTCTCTCTCTCTCTCTCTCTCTCTCTCTCTCTCTCTCTCTCTCTCTCTCTCTCTCTCTCTCTCTCTCTCTCTCTCTCTCTCTCTCTCTCTCTCTCTCTCTCTCTCTCTCTCTCTCTCTCTCTCTCTCTCTCTCTCTCTCTCTCTCTCTCTCTCTCTCTCTCTCTCTCTCTCTCTCTCTGCTCTGTCTTTTTTTTGCTGTTATGTTTTTGTCATGCTGACTAAAGTGAAGTCGACCTCATGTGCCATTGCCAAATTAGAACCCTAAACACCGCGGCAGCAGCCTAGCCAAAGTTTCGCAGCTCATTACGTAACGATCAAACAAACTATGCGGCCGCCCGAAATAGTTAGACGGGCTCATGCGTCACAAGAGCAACGCTTCAGAAATAAAAGGTTGACCTTTTGGGCTGTGTATCTATGCTGTGTGATGCAGTGAGTTCTATATATATTCATCTACTGATTTAGCTCCACGGTCGTGAAGTAACCATATCGCCTTTTCTGGCCATATGACTCATTGCAAGTCATACTGCATTCTGTATCTTCCATTTCTGTCCCTACTCCTTGCAGTATGTAATAGCGGGTCCAGCCCTTCATTTTCTGCTTGCCAGCTCCCTGCCGGACAATCACCAGTCAGTTTCCCGATTGAAGGCTTCGTCTAACACTCGCCCGTATAGGGGGGTCGAACGGACCCCCCCCCGGTTTTTTCGCGAATAACTCGCGTAAAAAGCGGCCGATCGCAACGAAACTTGCAGTACCTTCGCGTTACTCCATTTTACACCTACCCTTAAAATTTCATGACCCTGACCCAAATGACCTTTGACCTGTGACCTACTTTTCGAGACCATGTTTGGCCGAAATCGCGATTCGGCGTAGGGGAGAGCGGGGCCAGTTGAAACACGGGGTCAGATGAAACATGGCTTTATTTTCAACAGTATGCAATATATGGCGTTGCCGACACCACTGCGCATCCGCGCTCGACCACTTCCTTTGTCAACGGCGTTTGGGCGGCAAACGGACGGTACTTTTAATTTGACACTTGTTTTTGTGTTTTTGAGGGGCGTTTGGGAGAAATCGTTTTTATGAATATTTTTTGATATCTCATATACCTTTGTTTGCTGAAAGAAGAACTCCTGGCTCCGGAATAACACCTTATTTGGCCCTTCATTCAGCATGATGCCGTCCCTCCAGCTCGTTTGACATGTGCTTTACGGCGCGTGCGAGATGGCGGGAGCGGATGGGGTCAATTGAAACGCTTCTCTGAGGGTCAGTTGAAACAGGGCCACAGGCCGTTTCAATGGACCCCGGTGACCTTTGCAATGGTTATTGTTCAGGGGCTGTAAACATTAAAGGAAATAGTCCATCTTTGAAATAAGCTTTTAAACTGAACTAGTAGTTCAATAGAGTTCAATTTTTTGACCCCTTTTCTCCAGCCTTTTGCTTGAAAGCACACTATAGCCTGAGATATTTCTCATTTTTCTCATCCGCCCATTTTACCATAGTCTATGTCCTTTATGTCACCTATTATGAGGAACTTTGCACTTTCAGCTTTCCAACGACCTATTGAATGTAGCATTTGGAAAAGTAAACCGGACAAAATATCTCCTTAAGAAAGTGGCCTTAAAGAGGAAAACATCCCATTGTTAAGGATAGGTGCAATTGACCCCATGGGCTGGTTCAATTGACCCTCGCATCGGGGTCATTTGAAACGGGCGTAGAGCTGTTTTATAAGCATGCGTTTGGCAGCAAAATATGTTTGAAACATAATTTTACATATCTTAAAATAAAGCCAAAAGAGCATATTTTTTAATGGTATTGTGCATTTTTCGATATGACAACTAGATCTCGCTGTGCATGTCAATATATAAAAAGTGGTTCAACTGGCCCCGCTCTCCCCTATGTCGGCTCGCATTAGCTGGGCCTTTGCAGTCTTTTCGTGGTTTCAAGCGTTCAAAGTAAACATGTGATATGCTGTTGCCCCCATGCATTAAGGTGGGTATCAAGGTCACCTGAAGGTTAGGTCAGGTCATTGACCTTTGATGACCTCGGTTCACTTTTTCCAGTTTTACAAGTTTCTAGGCTAGTTTTTGGAGCTGAATTCGAATTTAGCAACCATATGAACATTAACAAAGTAGTTTTGGTATCTTCGTAACATGTTACGAAGCTGTCAGAGACGGTTGACACTTACTACGAATACCCGGCAGGACCCCTACTGATTGACCTGACCTGATCCGACCCGACCTAGCCTAAATGCATGAACACACATCATCTGTGATCAAAACTAACATAATATTCGTGATCAGCGCCCCGAAAAAAACAATAGCAGCCACACTTTACGACGTTCTAACAGGGCCCGTTTTCTCTACTTTTGGGTCATTGACCTGACCTGGAGGGTCAACTAATGACCTAGTACCCTAAAATTGGGTATCATCGGCTTTCTCTCGTCACGGGCAACACGCTCGTTTTTTCCGCGAAGCTCTAGCTCGATCAGGGACGAAACGGCAAGGGGTGGTCCAACGGACCCCCCCCCCCCCTTATACGTTCGCGACTGGAAAAACACCAATGGGGCGAGGGCTGAGCTGGGCATTGCCTTACTGCCTTTCTGACCGCGATGTTCCGCTCCATGCCGTAGTCTGTCAGACAGGCACTCACTGCCGCCCTAGGTGCGAAGGCTGTCTCCAGCCATAAAGTCTTCCCACGATGCCATGGTCACCCGATTGGATCGGTGCCCCCCCCCCCAAACAGCCCCACCCTACCCTACTTTAGTTCAATGTATCGAACGCTGCACGGGAGGGGAGGAAGCAGGGCGGCGCACTTCGCTGCCCGCAGCCCTCTCTGACGTCATATTGGACGAATACTTGACACATCGGAAAAGGGAGGAGGAGGAGGCGGAATTGATCCGATGAAATGCGTGGCAGTCGTGGTGATGACATCATCGGTCACTGCTAGCTAGCCGTGTTGTGCCAGACAGGCACGTGGTGTAGATCTCGGTGACAGGGGAAAGACATGATGTGTTACGTGTCGCGGAATCCTCGAGGAAAATTCCAGGTTGAGCAGTGAACGACGTAGGACCATACGGACCTAGCAATGACCGTCCTTCTCCCCCAACCCCACAAAAACATAAACACAGTGCCATTCGGAGTCGATCTGTGGGTTCCCCGGCCACGGTCTTTCCAGGGCGAGGGTGAGTTTGTTGACTTGAAGCGTCGCCCATTGCGTAACACTGCGGGGGGCCACGGCCATCCGCCGGTGACAGCCCCGTCCGAGCTTGGAGAGTTTCTTCATGTCCTTTTCACCGGTACCTTATCGTGCCGATGGTGATGAAACATGTGCGATTGGATAGAAGTGCGCGCTAGGTCTGATCGCTATGAATCTTACCGATTAACAATTCAGGTGAAGTGTCTTTTTCCACTGATAACATCAAGCCCGTTGCAAAGACTCTCATATAAAGGATAACAACGTCATAAAGGGGTAGCTGCATACCTGACATGTACATACATTTGCTATCATGGCTTTAGGAACCCGAGGTAAAATTTATGCCATCAGAATTGAGTAAATTGCCTTTAGGAAATTATCGCTCTTTTAAATAGATACGAAATAAACTATAGGAAGCTTGGGAAGAGTTACAAGTAAGTAAATATTCTGTAAACTATTGATCCCAATTTCCGATATGTCCAGAACAAACGCAGTGTTCAATCACCAAAGCGAACGCTTCGATCAACTCCCCTCCTCCCCTCCGCTTTTTGCCGACGTTCCGCGTCAGCATCCGGCCGTCAGGTCAAACCACGATGACGGTGTTCTGTTTGTTATAACAACTTACTCACTGACTCCCGGAATCCACGGATTTTTCGCACCCCCTCTGTAACACATACACACTCTCATGTTGCATAACTATGTACAGTTTACCGCGGTCCTGTGGCGTCTGATGCCGCGCTGGACATTCCACATTTCTCCCCCCCCCCTCCCCCGCCGAGTCTGCTCCGCATGGATGGGACCCACATCAGAGGTGACACGACAGGGCTCTCCGGGTCGCCATGCGGTGGAATGCCGACCGACTCCTGGGAAGTAGGGCTAGTCCTCGCTACCCCTCCCTCCCCACCCCCTATAGTTTGTGGCTTACAGTGATGCCTCTGTTCCGTCGATCCAGAAAATTATCAAACGGAAATGACACGGACTTATGAGTCTGCGAACAATGAAGTAAGTGCCCCATTTCCAGTTTTTAGTCCTGCGTGAAATGATGTGTCATATTGTGCGAGAGAAAACATTTGCTAAGAAAACAAGGAACTGTGGAGGAGTCTGATGCGTGGGGCTGCCCATTATAATAAATTACTGTATTACATATACATGATACATATCTATGCATAAAGTATAGAGTAGACATAAATAAGACTATGACAGTTTATATCTACAGGGCTCTACATATCACCACAGCTTACACTATACAGTACATACACATGCAGCCTTGAAAGATGTATTAAGTAATAATCGCTCAGCTTACAGAAACATTTACAATGCGCTGACGTCCAACAGTTGCATGATTCTGGTTGAGGTTCGGTTGAGCTCTTTGTTTGAAAACAGGAGACATCGTATTGTTTTTGTGGGGGGTAATTAGATCTATCCATGTTTTATGTTTAGGGCTTAGGCTGATGGTACAAATCCATTAACCTGGTACAAAAAGCATCCCAGTGAAAGTATGACCCAAATATATCGACATCAGGCACTATGTGTGCCACATTCCGCGTATTTGTCCATTTCCGATGTCGTAATGTTACGGATGGTTGCGGTAACCGGGTTAAGGTTCATTCACACTCTACCTTTGTTCGTTATGCCTACAGTCATTTCTTGTTATTAACCCGCGCGGGGCTGGGGTCTCCAGCCGAACGCGCGGGGCTGGGGGGGTAAATTTTACCCCCCCTGTTATCTCCCGAACTAATGGTCCGATTTGGAAAATTCAAACGCCAATCGAAAGCTCTCATCACGAACTACTAAAAACATGTACTTAATTTAAAGTTTGAGGTCAAGGTCAAGGTCAGGTCAAGGGTACAAATTGCAAGTTTCTACAGTATCGGCCTTGCACCGTAGTTGCCGAAGAATGGAGTCATGGACTGAGACTGATCGCCCAAAACGTGTTCTTAGGCTACCAAGACAATATTAGCTGCATACAATATCATTCAGAGGTCAAGGTCAAGGTCAGGTCAGGTCAGGTCAGGTCACCAAAAAGCAAAATATAGAAAAGGGCATGTGCGACACATGTTTTATGGGTCATTTTACTCATAGAATTCAATAGGCACACTCAATAAGTGATATGGGCCACCTCTGGATGAATTTCAGGTCGAGGTCAGGTCAAGGTCAGGTCAAGTGAGGTCAAATTTTGAAGTTGGTTGTTAAGGCCTAAAAAGGTGTCTATCTGATGCAGTTTTTCACGGCGAATCGAATGGTGCTATTTTTGTTTCCGTACGAGGTCTAGAACTTCCAAAAAAGTCATTTTTCAAAAATTTTGTGTGTCGTGACGTCATAAAATTTTGAATAACTCCCACATTTTTCAACCGATTCTTCTAAAATTTGGTATGTAGGTGCGCATAGACCACTTCTCTGACATATATTCCGGTTTTTTCGATAGACTTAAAATTTTTGATTTTATAATGATTTTCCCAAAAAAATCAGTTTTTTGAAAAAATTTAGGCCAAAATCCAAAATTTTCAAAAAACCGAGATAGCCATTTGATAGACAAAGTAAAATTACGTATAACCTTTTTTGTTACGTCTTGATTCCATTAAAAATGAAGATGTTAGCGGCGTTTGAACTTTTGCCGTTTTTGAGGCGAAAATGGCGAACATGACGTCATTAAAACGTCAATTTCTCAAAAAATTTCCGACGGATTTCGCTCAAATTTTCAGGGAAGGTGTCAAATTGATGTAAGAAAAGGTACTGAAAGTTTGGCGGCGCTGCGCGCCGCCGTTTTTGAGATATCGCAAAAATTCGCGAGGGGGGGTAAAATTTACCCCCCCCCAGCCCCGCGCGGGTTAACACATTGCTCTTTCAATGTTGCTTTCCATGCTGTCACATGAATGACGTCACCTGGCCTGACCTGATCCAATGTGACATAGCTTTTTGGCGGTGCGGCGTGACCCACCATGACCCGCTGCGACCTCAGCTGCTGGGATGTGGGCCGGTGCTGACCTCACCTGGCCTGCGCTTACCCGTTGTGACCTCAGTCAATTACATACTGGACGCCTGGACAGTGTGTCAGTGCTGATGAGTGATGACCTGACCCGCTGTGACCTCAATCTGGGCGGTGTGTCGGTGCTGACCTGACCTGACCTGACCTGACCCGCTATGACTCGCTGTGACCTCAGCCAGCTGTTGGGCCGTGTTTTGGTACTGATACTGAACCATTGTGACCCGCTGTGACCTCACACCTCAGTCAGCTGCTGGGCCGTGTTTTGGTACTGATACTGAACCATTGTGACCCGCTGTGACCCGCTGTGACCCCAATCAGCTGCTGGGCGGTGTTCCAGTACTGATACTGTCCCACTGTGACCCGCTGTGACCCGCTGTGACCCGCCGTGACCTCAGTCAGCTGCTGGGCCGTATTCCAGTACTGATACTGACCCGCTGTGACCTGCTGTGACCCGCTGTGACCCGCAGTCAGCTGTTGGGCGGTATGTCGGTGCTGCTGCTGACCTGCTGTGACCCGCCGTGACCCGCTGTGACCCGCTGTGACCTCAGTCAGCTGCTGGGCGGTGTTCCAGTACTGATATTGTCCCACTGTGACCCGCTGTGACCCACTGTGACCCGCTGTGACCCACTGTGACCCGCTGTGACCCGCCGTGACCTCAGTCAGCTGCTGGGCGGTGTGTCGGTGCTGCTGCTGCCGCTGGTGTCCAGCTACGGCGCCATCCTGTCGCTGTTTGTCGTATACTCGGTGGGCATCGGCACTTGGTTCGTCAACCTGGCGCCCGTGCTCGCCGACCACCACGGTATTGACAAGATCGCCTCTTCGTACGGCCTGGTGCGCATGTTCCACGGCCTCTCCACACTGGCCATGCCGCCGCTCTTCGGTGAGTCAGAGTCTACAAGTGCGCAATGCACATAATGCTGGCAATGCCGCCGCTCTTTGGTGAGGAGTCATGGCAGCTCGGCAAGATCGGTAAAAAAAACGACTGAAAACTGATACGATTGAAAGAACGGCGATCTTCCTGTCACGGCATTCAAAACTTTTTGCTGCAATGTTAATTTCATTCAAAATGAGTTTTGTCCAATTCAAATTATTTTGTAATAATCATATTCTTCGGCTTGATTTTTGCTAAAATATGTGCCTGTACCTGGTGTGCCTATATACTCGTTAGGAGCGGAACTCTTGCCCCGTCATATTTGTCAAACGGCGGTCTGTCGCCCTCAGGCGTGCTGGTGGACCGTACCGGAGACTACGGCACCCAGTTCTACGGTATCGGCTCGTGTATGGTGGTGGCCGGCCTGCTGGTGGTGGGCGTCTCCGTGACGTCACTGGACCAAAAATACGGCGTGCGGCAGGAGGCCGAGACCAGCGAACAGCCGGAGGTCACAGCAGACCAGCGGGACGCCGTGTCGGAACAGCACGACCACGAGGATGTGGCCAATCAGCCAATAGCCGAGGAGGAGGAGTGATGTCGTCAATAGGCAATAGCCGAGGAGTGACGTCATCAGTTAGTCAATGGCTAAGGAGGAGTGGTGACGACACCAGCTAGCCAATAGCCGACGAGGATGAGTGATTTGTCAACCAACGGTCGAGGTGTGATGTCCTCCGACGCTTTGAAAACGGACAGAAGGTGGAGCGGTTTCCCTCGAACGCCACAGAGCTGACCAGTCGAGATTAGATCGCGCTGCTAATTGTGACGCCGATTGTCGTCCTGGAATTTATTGACATTGCTGTATTGTTGTAATCAAAACTGTTTGAACGATCTGCTAGTCGTTCTATAAAAAGAATTAAACGTCGAAATATGTGTACCTAATCTAGTCAGTGAGTTAAATAACCAATATTTAGCCATTTCTCTGAAATGCTTACTTGTTAGAAGCGATTGCTATATTTTGGATGTGAATACGTTAGGTATAAATTGAATAATACCACACAAATAACTCATGCCCCAAGTCCCGTTCAGTGTTCACGTTGGGAAATATGTATTGTCCAAAAATATGAATTGGATTTGGCGAAATATTATCTTGAAATCACTCCTAAATGAAAGCAAATCATTCTTTAGAGTTTAGACGTTCCCTTTACCCACTCTACTTAAATATTCTCCCCATGACTGTTTAGTTGCTATAAGAGAAACTTGGCTAATCACTCGCCAACGCAGTGATAATCTCCTCAAAGTAGCATATTTTTCTCACTCAGGGCAAAACATGGAGCACATCGTATACCCGATTGTTTGTGTGTAACTTCACAATCACATATCTATCTTACATGAATTCAGTGCTCATGGTCATATACATACTCTGTCTTTTTCACATTTGGTGCGAGACGTACATGGCGTTGACTTCGTCAACTGACCAAGTCCCCGTGTAGATGCATGAGCACTGATAAGCTATGTTGATGCACTCGTTATTTACTGCTTATATCTTGTGGATTTCCGGTTTGGTATGACTCAATCGGTTGATCAATTTGATACAGTCAAGACAAGGTGCAGTGCAATGTCAGTCAGCTGATCAAACACCGGTGCAATGGTGCAACTTCAAGGACAGCTATCGGGCCAGCTGCGTTTTTAATTGTTACATCACTGATCTAATCGGTTAGGCAATAGGTACTCATCTGATGCAGCTCGGCAGCGTTTGGCCGTGCCTGCTGTTCCTGTGATTGTGTCCCCCCGCAGAGGAGCGTGTCCTGGTTGAAGTCATGGCGATAACGCAATTTATAGTGGCTTCCGTGCCACTAGTAGAACCAACTGCTGTTTGGCATCAACATATTCACTGAATGTGATCGTGGGCCTTCACTGATACACGGTTCAGGGTTTTGTACGGTGACTCATCGCCTTGCAAAGGGTGAATTCGTATATTTTTGACCCACCGGTCACTGGGACATTGTGCTGTGTCTTGTTGCCATGATTACACACAGAGAGATGCGCGTGCATTTGTAAAGCACACTGCACAGTGCACAGCTTAGACACGCATACATGCACAACAGGCAGCAGCACACAAAACGCACACAGCTATAGCCCACGCATCCCTTGACCAATGACGACATTCACAGAGCGGGCTCGCTTTGCACGGGTGACTTTATGGCCCCGCTTAACCCTATTCCTGGCGGGCTCCGCCGGGACAAGAAACTGGCGGGGGGGCCGATTCGGCCCCCCCCTGAGATCTCGAGAACGAAGCAAGATAGCGACAAGCGGTAAACGGCATCGGATACGCACGGCCAAGATCTACAATTTTTACTAAGGTCATTTTCAGGTCAGGTCAAAGATGACGTCACAGGGGTCGAAAAAGTCAAAATGGCGGCACTAGATATGGAGAGAGTTTTTCTCGAATAACTTTCGAATTAGTCAAGATAGGAACAAACTAAGGGCATCATCGTGATCCTCTCGTCAATCCGCATCGAATGATATATATGTTGACCTCGAAAGGTCAAGGTCAAAGGTTGACCTCAGGTCACGTGACCTCGAGGTCATCATGTATATCATTCGATGCGTCTTGACGAGCTGAACACAATGAGACCATCCACGCGTCTGTATCTTGTTCCTGTACGGAGTTATTGGCCAAAAACCTTTGGTGACCTTTGATGACGTCACATGACCTCACAGCTGCCCAACATCAAAACAGACCTCAAGGTAGTGAAGGTTGATCGTATATGAAGTCATGTATTGTATATGGGGCCATTCCGACCCGTTTTAGTGGTAAAAACAGGGAGTTGATTTTTCCCCCATTGACTTATAATGGGGGAGGTCGCGAAATTGACCTGACCTTAGGTCACCGATATCAAAATTACGAGATATACAAATTGCACATACTGGTACCCTAACTAAACCCTGAAGAGAAGAAATTGATCGGTCAAAAACTCTAGCTCTGGCGTGATTGCAAACTTTTCTGAGGTAGCGTCACCAAACCGCCTCTGGTGACCTGACCTGAGGTCAGATCAACTCAAAATTTTCAGACATGTTGCGTAGAAGCCTTTTAGGAAAAGTCAGAAAATTTGAGCTTCCTAGCTCAACGCGTTTGGGAGATATAACCAAAAAACCTCAGGGGGGGGCTCCTGAGGCCCCCCCCCCCGCCAGGAATAGGGTTAATCTCATCTACTGCTTGCATGCTTACCTACTTGCTGATAGACCATATGCCAAGTTCCGGCTAGGAGCCATGCTGTTATGTGACGTTGCTATGTAATAGCTGGAGAACTGAACAAAATCGCCAGAATGTAGTGATGCTATTGCTATCAAGTCGAAACTTAGAAGCCCTTTGCCGATGCTAGGCAACACCTATACAATATACATGCGACACTAGATATATCAGTGAATAGAATACTGCATAGCCGATGTTCATAACGTGATACTGTTTAGTATGTATAATACATGTCCAATGATCATTTATAAGCTGCATTTTCAAGCAACCTCATTTACTATATAAACCTTGATCAAATCAGATGGTACAGAGACACATTCGCTTGTCCCGTTGATGACGCCATTGTTCACTGCAATAATTGTTACTCCCCATATACCCCTAAGCGGTGATCGTTTTGTCACTGCCACCCAGCATATGAGACAGTGTTGGACGATTGCTGTATCCGCTTCGTATTGATTGAACATTTATGTAGGTACAGTTGTTCACTGCTCTAAGCGAGGCGTGTAACTGATGTAGGCGTATTAGATCGATGATACTGTATGTGTATTTGTGCGTGACGTGTGTGCATTTGTGAAACATGTACCGCTGTACGAGTGACAGTCGACATTTGCTGTTCAGCATTTATGTACCTTTTTTGTTACATTGTTAGGTACAATTTGTTGGAAAGAGCAACTTGAAGCTGTCACTTACCATGTAGAACATGCCGAACTTGGTTGTCCCACGGTGTGAGTATTATCGGTAGGTAGCAATGAATGTACTATAAAGTATGTTTCAAATGTAATCTGATTGATAGCCACAATACACGATTTCGTCAGCTTTTGGTTAATAACCAACGACGCTAACCCAATACAACGAGTGGAGACCGATCTTAGAACAACACTCGTTCTTCGCATATTCTTGTTTTCTTTTACATACATATTTTATTTCAATTGGCATACAATCAGCGGGAAAGTCCAAGTTAATAACAGAGTCGGATGAACGTATAGATTGGAATGGCCACTAGCTTTTGCATCATTGGAGCTGCATACGATCACCCTTATCCCGCGCCCCACTACATGGGGTCTGCCTATAACACGCCCTACTGGGGGGGGGGGGCTCTTCATAGACCCCCTCCTAACTCCGAAACTACTTGGCCGGTCGTCAAAATTCAAACGGTGTCTGATAGCCCCGGAAAAACTGTTTAGCGAAACCTAATTTCATTGACATCGAGGTCACCGATGACGTCACAGATCAGGTCAAAGTAAAAATTATTAGCATTTTGGCTTGTTCACATTTTGGGCTCTGGCCGCCGTCTTACAAGTCAGATCAGGCTCATTTTTGGTTTAAACACTCGTGAACAGATGTTCTAGATACCCTGAGGGTACCAAACTTGTACTTTGATTTTCAGGCCAGGGTCAGGTCATCACAGGTCATGGAAATATTATATCATGCGTCGGTCACGTGACAGACACGTTTTATGGTCCATTTAGGCCATATATTTCGAATTTGATGTCGTCGGTGTCATTCGAGGTCATTTTGAGTCGAATTTAGCTTAGGTCAGGTCACTTTCAGGTCAAAAAAGGTCAAATGTTGAAGTAAACATTTTTCAACACAAAAGGTGTCAATTGGATGCAGTTTGAGCTCAGGAACACGATGATGCTATTTATATAAGTGTACGATGTCAAATACGTACTGAAAAATTGAAATAAAAAAATAATAATTGTGAAATTTTTGCAATAATGGGTATACCTAACTTGGTAATTTTTAAAGATATTTAGCTAAAACAGCATGCGTTCTATCACTTATATTCCGGTTTTTTCGAAAAGTAAAAAAAAAATGAAAAAAATAGAAAAATATTAATTTGAATTTTATTTTAGGAAATTTTCAAAATTTTCGAAATTTTGAAAATTCGAGATAGCAGTTTGATAGCGCAGTCTATTTTGAGTCCTTTCATGCAAAGAAATTGGATCTATTGGGAGCGATTGCCGTGGTTCAGTGCTTTGCGTTGAAATCGGCCGAACATGACGTCACTCTGACGTCATTTTCGGCCGCCCTATGGTAGCTACGAAGTTCATATTTTGACACAAGGTGTCAAATTGATGCAGCCGAAGGTACCCCGAAAGTTTAGCGTCGATACGTCAAGCGGTTTGGAAGTTATTGCAGAAAAACGGGAGGGGGCTATGAATAGCCCCCCCCCCCCCCCAGTGGTGCGCGGGTTATACATGCAATATGCCTACTAAGCATATTTTGGGCATGTCACCAATGCTCACTTAACTATTTAGCATTTCGTTTTAACCCGCGCCCTGCTGGGGGGGGGTGTTTGAACACCCCCCCTTGTGGTTTTTCGCGAATATCTCAAAAACGGCGGCGCAGAGCGCCGCCGTTTTTGGTACACCTTATCATACATCAATTCTACACATGTTGTGAAAATTTCAGACCAAGGTCATTCAAGGTCAGGTCACCAGGTCACTTGAAGTGACCTCACCTAATAAAAAGTTTCAATGTCTGTCATAACTACACCGAGTGACCGATCGCTTTGAAACTTTCAGCGATTGATAAGGGTAACAGTATCTATAAAATGTATATCTCGGAATCTTGATATCGGTGACCTAAGGTCAGGTCAATTTTGCGACCTCCCCATTATAAGTCAATGGGAGAAAATTGAAATGCGCCTCTTTTGGACGAAAGACATTATAAACACTCCCAAACACTGAATTACAAGTGGTTTAGACACACTGAACATGAAAATGGTGTCCGTGACCCTTGTTTATGCCCTGAGGTCATCTTAGGTCACGAATGGTATCTAACAGTTTTTCGCAAATAACTTTTGATAGAGGCATGCTAGAGCGATGAAAATGCCTTAGATGTGTTCAGCTCGACGATACGGATCGACTGATATGCAACATGACCATTTCCGGTCAGGTCATGATCTTGACCTGAGGTCAAATTTTCAAGTTGACCTTTCAAGGTCAAGTTATAGTTCATTCGATGTGTCTTGACGAGAGGAACACGATGCCGGTAAAAGTAAGCTCGTACAAGGCTTGGGTCAAAAGTTATTGCCGAAAAACTGTTTCCGAAAAAATCGGCTATTTTTGCAGTTTTTGCCCCCTGCAGGCAAAACCGTTGACGTTAGGTCAAATCTGAGAGAGTTACTCAGAAAGGGCGTTAATAGGGCTATCGAATGCGCTTTTCTGCGGCGCTGTAGCTCTATTGGTTCCTGAGTTATGCGTTGGCTTCTTGGAAATTTTCGATATTCGACCTGGAAATCGGCGAAATTTTGCCTTCAATGACCTCTGGTGACCTGACCTTTGACCTGACCAAAAAATTGACCGAAGTGATTTCGTCATTATTTTTGACGCTCTTTCGAGCGCCGCCTTCCGCGTATCGCTATGTGGCCCAAGACCCGAGTTACAAGGGGGGGGGTGTTCAAACACCCCCCCCCCCCAGCAGGGCGTGGAAATCCAGGACCCCCAGCCGGGCGCGGGTTAAACGACTTGACTGGTCAGTTGCAGAAACGCAGTCTCAGTACCAAACCTCTATTCGAGAGGCCACGACATGAGCCTCAGACTAAGACAGTTCAGCAGTAAGAATTTGAGTTATTCATAACTCTGTAAGGAAGGTTGGTATCTGTGTTTTAGAATAAAAGCACCTTCCAAGAAATTTCGCAGATATATTGAACCCCACTCACAAACTTAGCTCGAACATTGCCATTTTTTGTATTAGCTAATGGCAGATGTTCCAAGTCCGAGATCAGTTTGAGAACTGTAACGGCCTCCATCCGAAATATTTTGACACTGGGAATACGTGCAAAGGGACGCTCTGGCTGTGGTTCAGCCGCTAATGTCTCCCCTTTGCCCAGCGGGTGGCTGTACCGCCATCCGACGCCCGCCTAGACCCCTGTCAGTGGGAGGCAGGGCTCCTGCTCGGCTTGTTGCTCCCCATCCATCACTGCCTGTCCATCGGGAGATGGCTAATGTATAGATTGTATAGATTGTATAGATTTGCCCTTGAAAATCTATACAATCTATTAGTATAGATTGTCGGCAGCCGCTCCGTCCCGGTCCGGTTCCACACACTGAAAACAAAATTACCCATGGGTGATGAGTAAACTCATGAACCGGCGGTAATTTTAAACAACCTATTTGACTGCTCGAGGCGCCGGTAATGTAACTAGGCCTGCACCGGTCATTCCACCTCTCAATTGTGCGTTAACTCATGTCTCTTCACTCGTGTATTATGAGTTAACCGATTGTGAAAAACTCATGTACTCTTGGTAACTCATTTTGATTACTCATGATATGCGAGTATAGGCTTACTCATATTACACCGTTAATGAAGACACCACACGTTTGACTACATGAGGCGCTAGTAAATGTTACTAGCCCTGTAGCGGTCACATCACCAATGAGTTGCGGGTTAACTCTCGTTCCCTCACTCATACCACATGAGTTTACCGTTTGTGACGAATTCAAGCATTGCTAGTAACTCATGCCATGAAACGATTGATACGCGAGTTAAATGTAACTCATAACATGATGGTCAAGTGAACACACCTATTAGATCGCTCTGCCGCCGGTTTTTCCACTCTGTCGACTCATCCCCTGGCGGTCAGCCTCACCCATGAGATGAGAGTCATAACATTAAAACATAAGGTTTATTAAAACAATGCATAGCATGCAGATAAACCACGACTATTACATCATTGATCATATGAACAAGGGTGATGAACACAGCACGACGCTCATGCCCTTCCAGACATGAACTTGGCCTACACGCATGAAAAGGCGTTAACGCCATTTCTTTGCAAAACTACAGGGTGGGATGGACAAATTGAGACAAGTTTCTACGCGGTTGTACGCCTCGGCTATAACCGCAATCTGATTGGTCGCATTGCTGGCACGGCCCTCAGATGCTATAAAAGCGAGGGTGACCCAAGGTCAGGTCAAATCATGTCTGGTCGCGGAGCCGAGTACGATCGCCGAGCCGCCGTGCTCCAGGCGCTGCGCGCAGGGAGGAGCCCGGCGAAGATCAGCGAGTTCCTGCGTGTCCCACGGAGCACGGTGTACCGCATTGCCAAGCGTGTGCGGGCACAGGAGGGCGGTGGAGATGGCGAGGATGAAGGAGAGGTGACTCCCGAGCGTAAAAAGCGTAAATCAGGGCCTGGGAAGAAGAGAACGCCGGTGTTTCTGCAGCAACTCCAGGCTCTGATCGAGGAGGAAGTCACGAGAGGAAGTCTCTCAGGATCAAGGAAGTCTCGTGACTTCCTTGATCCTGCCCTGGATCAAGGAAGTCACGAGAGGAGCTGGATATGTCTTCCAGCAAGACTCAGCACCCGCACACGCAGCAAAGAAGACGCAGGAGTGGTGCCGGCAGAACATGCACCTGACGTGGACCAAGGAGTTCTGGCCCCCCAACTCTCCGGACCTCAACCCCCTGGACTACTTTGTCTGGGGCGAAGTTGAGAGGGTCTCCAACAAGAACCCCCACCCCTCCAGGGAGGCTCTGAAGCGGACCATCGAGGAGACGATGGCGGCCATGGACCGAGCTGTCGTGAAGCGCGCGTGCGGCAGGTTCAGGAGCCGGCTGGAGAGGATGGTGGCGGCAGAGGGAGGGTTTATCGAGTGAGAATGCTCTACAACGATGCCAGTGTCACGAAATAAATATATTTCTGACTGATTGTTTTTTGGTTAACCGGCAAACTGCATTTGAATTGATAAACACAATGTGTCTCAATTTGTCCATCCCACCCTGTATACCCGGCAGAAACATGCAAACACAAAAAGAGACAGAAAGTCCCTAAAGTGCTGCCTCATGTCCCTCCCCGTGCACTCC